CAGTAGACTTTGTTCATCATTGGAAACAAATTTGATTCACTGTCAATGTATGACTAATTGAACCCACGATTTCCATTATAAGTTGTGATGGTCGTAAAGTGGGTCTTCACTTTAAGACCTTTTTTGTGGCAGACATTAAGTGAACCCTTTGTTCGCTATGGAATAGTTTTGATGGAAACCAGCAGTCAACTTTGATTTATGGCAAAAGCTTTATAAATCATGGTCACATGATTGCAGGGCATTTAAAATGGCTGCCAAGATGTTGTGGCCCGCTGGCGGCCAAGGAACAGGCAGCAGAGTCAGACAGTGAGGAGGTTGGGGAGGAACATGGGACAGTCCTGGAGGCTGAGGAAGACCCGGAGGAGGGCTCTGCATCATAGGCATAGATGGGGCCAGGGCAGGCTGGCAGTCAGCAGCTGCCTTCAGAGTTGGACAGCAGTGAGGTGGAGCAGCTGGAGCCAGTTCCCAGCCTGTGCATGCACAGAGCTGCCAAAAAGAAAGAACAATTACGAACTAAGGATCAACATGGGAGTAGGGCCACGGGTGGATAATGAATGGCTCCTCCCATAAGAATTAAAAGAGGATCAAAAGGGGAGGGGGCTTTTGCAGGAAACAATTCATTCGGTGCAGCCGTGTGAAGATCTGTCTGTGCATCTCAGAGACTGTGCCGAGTCAGCAATGTGTTTGAAAATTCCTTGTCAGCAATGTGTTTGAAAATATTTACTTGGCAGCTCTCCAAGCTACATAAGGTCTGTGCTCCTAAACTGTTTGCCAGGCCTTTGACTGATGGTGAATGCAAGAAATTCACCTTCGTTTAATAAAAGGGGTTTTGCTGGGACAAAGAGTAGGCTTAGTGCTTTTTGGGGAAGCCTAGGTCAGAGCACAAAGTCACTGAGCACCCGAAAATAGTGGTCACTTGACTGCAGGCCCCTCCCCCCAGCAGTTGAAACTTCAGAACTGTGCCATAAGTCCAACTGTTACAAAAGTTCACTTCATAACTGTTCGAAGTTACAACAGCACTGAAAACAGTGACTTACGGTCACTTTTCACAGAATAGAACAGAACAGAACAGAATAGAATAGAAAATATACTAGAATAGAGTAGAATAGAATAGAACAGAATAGAATAGAATTAAGAATAGAATAGAATACAATAGAATTAAGAATAAAAAAGAACAGAATAGAATAGAAACTAGAATAGAATAGAATAGAAAATATAATATACTAGAATAGAGTCAAATAGAACAGAATAGAATAGAAACTAGAATAGAATTAAGAATAGAATAGAATAAGAATAGAATAGAAACTAGAATAGAATAGAAACTAAAATAGAATGGAATGGAATAGAATAGGAACAGAATAGAATAGAATTAAGAATAGAATAGAGTAGAGTAGAGTAGAATAGAATAGAATAGAATAGAATAAAAAAATAGAATAGAATAGAATAGAAACTAAAATGGAATGGAATAGAATAGAATAGAAACTAGAGTAGAATAGAAACTAGAATAGAATAGAAACTAAAATGGAATGGAATGAATGGAATGGAATGGAATGGAATAGAATAGGAACAGGATAGGATAGGATAGGATAGGATAGAAACTAGAATAGAATAGAAACTAAAATGGAATGGAATAGAATAGAATAGAATAGAATAGAAACTAGAATAGAAACGAAACTAAAATGGAATGGAATGGAATAGAATAGAATAGAATAGAATAGAATAGAATAGAATAGAATAGAATAGAAACTAAAATGGAACGGAACAGAACAGAACAGAACAGAACAAAATAGATGCATGTGGCTGCTCAAACAGCCAGAAACAGGCTCCATGAGGGTGGTATGAGGGCCCAACGTCCACAGGTGGGGGTTGTGCTTACAGCCCAACACCGTGCAGGACATTTGGCATTTGCCAGAGAACGCCAAGATTGGCAAATTTGCCACTGGCGCCCTGAGCTCTTCACAGATGAAAGCAGGTGAGCACATGTGACAGACGTGACAGGGTCTGGAGATGCCGTGGAGAATGTTCTGCTGCGTGCAACATCCTCCAGCATGACCAGTTTGGCAGTGAGTCAGTAATGGTGTGGGGTGGCATTTCTTTAGGGGGCCGCACAGCCCTCCATGTGCTCACCAGAGGTAGCCTGACTGCCATTAGATACCGAGATGAGATCCTCAGACCCCTTGTGAGACCATTTGCTGGTGCGGTTGGCCCTGGGTTCCTCCTAATGCACAACAATGCTAGACCTCATGTGGCTGGAGTGTGTCAGCAGTTTCTGCAAGATGAAGGCATTGATGCTATGGACTGGCCCGCCCGTTCCCCAGACCTGAATCCAATTGAGCACATCTGGGACATCATGTCTCGCTCCATCCACCAACGCCACGTTGCACCACAGACAGTCCAAGAGTTGGGGGATGCTTTAGTCCAGGTGTAGGAGGAGATCCCTCAGGAGGAAAAGCGAGAATCCCTGGCAGAGAATCGTGAAGGGAGCAAAGAAAGTGGAGGGTCCCTTCTGGGCCTGCCATGAACTCCCCCCTTGAGCTGCAGCCCCTCCCAAGACTAAAGGAATCCCCCCTCCCACTTTCTCTGCTTGTCTCTCTCCGCGGAATTCTCCCTCCTCCTTCAGCTGAAGTCACAAAGGACTCTGCCCGGAGACCGATGACGCTCAAGCAGGGAGAATTCCCATTGGTGCTGCTGCTAGTTCTGGCCCCTCCCACCTCCAAAGACAGGGGGGAAAAGGCTCCCCCCCTCAATTCAGAGCCCTGATTCCTCCTCTGGGGCTGGAAGCATCTGGCCGGGACACCCCCTTCCTCCGCCCCTTCACTTCGCATGTGGAGATTCCTGCCATGGGAAGAGTTTCTGCACTGGATGAGAAGGGGGGAGGGGCAGCCAATAGCAGGGAAGACTTGGGGGTCACAGACACACACACCCCAATCCAAAGGGAACCCTCAACTAAGCCAGGAAGAGGCGGAGAAGATCTGCAGGGATCCCTCCTAGCCCAGATGGATCCTTCCCCCCAGTTACGGGAGAAAAACGCGATTTCCCTCCTTGAAAAATGCGTCTCTCTTGTTTCAAATGTCTGGATGAACTGGCTCCTTCCGATTCACCATCCCTCGACCCCTGATGTCCAGGACCCACCCTCTTTCTGTGGGTCAGGAATCCAGGTCCCCCTTTTCCTCGCACACCCAGGGCCCCGAGGGAAGATCCCGGAATCCAGTTGGGCTGTTTCTCCTTTGCTTCCCGCTCCTTTCCTCGGAGAATTTCCACCTCTTTGCCTTCATTGCCAGCTTTTTCCTCTCTTTCAGCAGAGAAAAACATCAAGTAACGTTTGGGGAGAAATTTGACCAGTAGAAAAGTGCAGATATATTGTGGAACCCGGATGAGCTTTTCCCCCCGGGAATTTGGCTATTTTGGCTGTGGAACAGGAAACAAAAGGCTCCTTTTGGTTATTTTTTATGAAGATTCTCATGGAACGAAATAGAAAATAAAGAAAGTTGGGAAATGGGAAAGGGAAGTGTAGGATGCGGGGGGAAAGGGAAAAACTATTTTCAAGGAAGCAGAATACAAAGTGAAATTTCAGCCTCAATTCTTCCTTCTACTGTTCATTCTTAGTAAATTCGGTACATTTCTATAAAAAGCAATCCTAATCAGCAAATCCTATAGGGAAGGTTTCCCTTCCTTTTGCCTCAAGCACAAAGTCCAGAAGTGGTTTCCAGGTAGAAACACAGCTGGATCTTTTCTTTTCTCTGGTCCGAACAGTTCATCTCGTCCTCTCAACCCTCATTTCTTCCGTCCATCCACCTTCAATCTTGGAGATGGAGGTATATTTCCAGTTTTGCGTATCAAGAATTCTGGCTGCACTCAGCTTGTATAATAATTTTTATTTCAAGTTCTTTATCCAGTAATCCTAAAATGTCAATCTCTGGTTTTCAATAGATGCAGAGAGATAAATCACATTTGCACAATAAAGAAAAACCTAGGAAGGAAATGAAAAAGACACACCTCCCCTCCAACAGCCAATAGATAAGCAGGGACCAGCACCAGACAAGTAAACAGGCAGAAAACAATCGTCCAATCAAGGAACCATCCAGGAGGAAACCACACAATCTCTGGCAGGGCATCTAAACAGGCAGCCAATTCCCCACTCTGCTTTGCACTGAGGATGTTACCTAGCTGGGTAATGAAACATCTCCAAGCGAACCAAGCACCGAGGGCTCCAACGACCCCAGAGTTTAACCCAACCTCCAGATATTATCTTCTGTGGACTACATCCTCTTTCAAATGCCTGCCCCAGGACTACAAATCCCATCTTCCTCAGCTGACTCCAAGGTTTGTCCATTTCCCTCACCTTCTCCCTCCACTGCCAATTGTGATCAACTGGATTCTTTTTGGTTCCTGACATCCACCCAGTACAAACAGTTTCTCCTTCCTCCCCTCTGAAACCCCAGAAAATGGCAGTTCCCTCTTGTGGGGGAGGGGAGCACACGTTCCACCTTCCGCTGGGCATCCAAAATTCAAGGATGCCGGGAATTTATCTGACCCAGTTACCTAGTTGGGTAATTCAATGTCTCCAAGGAAACAACCAAGCTCAGAAGCCCCCAAGGACCCCAGAGTTGAACTGAGCTCCAGATAATCTCTCCTGTTGTAATCAGATAGGATAGAATTCTTTATTGGCCAAGTGTGATCGAACACACAAGGAAATTGTCTTTGGAGCATAAGCTCTCAGTGTACATTAAAAAAAAAATACATTCACCAAGAATCACAAGACTTAGTGACAGTCATAGGATACTAATAAGCATACTAGGGAACAAATAAAACAATATAAATTGTAAAAATACAAGCAACACGATAATAGTCATAAGAGATGGCTAATAGAAAGGATGAGAAAAACTTACTAAGGCTTTATAAAACAGTACTAATACTTCACATGATTTTGATTCTATGCTTCTATACAATTGAAGATTATATTAGCTTTTTTGGCTGCTGCCGCACACACGTGACTCATGTTTAAGTGATCATCCATTCGGACTCCCAAGGTCCCTCTCACTGTTACGGTTTTTGAGCCAGGTTTCCTGTAATGTTTTTCCTGCCCAGGTGTAAAATCTTACTTTTCTCCACATTAAATTTCAATTTCTTGGATTCAACCTTGTCTCATTTGGATCATACACATACAAATCTATAGAGACCTATAAAGGTCAGTGGTTAAAATGCAGTACTACCGGCTAATTGTCCATAACCAGGAGTTCGATCCTGACCAGCTCATGGTTGATTGAGTCTTTCATCCTTCTGCTGTCCCTAAAATTAGGACCCAGATTGCCGGGGACCATATGCTGACTTTTTAAATTGCTCAGAGTGTGGTAAAGCATTGTGGAGTGGTATATAAGTCTAAGTGGAATTGCTATTGCTATATAGTTTCTCCCAAGCGTGGATCCTTTTATAAGATGACCATTGTGAATAAAACTGTCTCCACATACCATGCATTTAAATGGCTTCTCTCGTGAGTAGATCTTTTTTGTGGCTTCTAAGGCCACTGCTCTGAGCAAAGATCTTTCCACACCATGCATTTATATGGTTTCTCTCCTGAGTGGATCTTTTTGTGTCTTCTAAGATCACTGCCTCGAGTAAATGTCTTTCCACACTCCATACATTTATACGGCTTCTCCCCTGTGTGGCTTCTTTTATGAGAAATAAGATAACCTTTTTGAGCAAAGGTCTTTCCACACTCCATGCATTTATAGGGCTTCTCCCCTGTGTGGATCATCTTATG